GCCTCGGAACACAACAACAATGCCAGCATGGAGATTTTGGAGGGAGTTTTCCCCAACTGTTCAACTACATCGTAGTCGCTTTTCTTTATTATTCTCAGGATCTCCTCCATTTCCTTCTTGGAGGTTTCAGGGATAGTCAGTTGTTGAGCCTTCGTCCGGACAAGCTCTTCTTGAATAATTTTTCCTCGAGTTTCAGTAGTAGGAGTGTTGGTAGGTATAACAGCAGGGGTTGTGTCATCTTTGTCAATAGGAGCACTTGCAGATATGATTATTGGTACAGAGGTAACCTTTGGAGCAGCCACGGGTCCAAAAATTGCCTTTGGAGGGGCAATTTCTGGAGAGAAGATTCTACCGCTTCGGGTGATCTTACTGGTTCCGGCAATATTACTAATGTCGGAGTCTTCTTCTTCGGAGTTTATTTCTTCGGCGGCCAGTCCATCTTGTTTGATGCCATGGTAATAAATGTCCCCACCGTAATTCCACGGAACAGTTTTGTCTAATTCATACGGGACTGGCCCAGGCATTGTGATTATAAGAGGAGTAGTTTTTGGAACCGATGTAATCCTAACGGGTCTTTTGGGGACCCTAGAAGAATTCGCGGATATGGTGATGATTGAAACGTCTTCAACAAGAACAGGTGAAACAGGAGTACTTTCAAACAGAATCTCTTGGTTGTCTATCAAGCGTTGAATGCATGTTTTCAATAAAAGGCAATTAGTTGGTGAGGATAAGCAAAGATGGCAGTCTTCATTACAACTCGGGAAGACACCGGCTTTCAACAAGTTTATCTTAATGATTGGGAGTGGAGTCAAGAGTTCATCAATTATGGTAACAAACAAATCTTCTTCAACAAAGTTGTACCCCAAAATTTGCCCTCTCATTTCTCAAGGATTTTCTCACAAGATCTTCTATGACATCAAGTTTGCAGCACTGATACATCAATTTAGGCTTGGAATTGGCAAAAGGGCAAAATGGTCAATTGCATACTAGAAAGTCAAACTTTGACTTTTTGGTCAACATTACATTCCAAGGACCAAATTTCATCAAGACATTCAAAAATATGAAACTTGATCATCAAGAAATAAAGAAAGCCAAAAGTCAATGTGAAAGTTCAAACCCTTCAAGACTTAGAAATTTTTCTAAGTGTTTTTTATACGTGATAATCTCATTTCTTCATGCCAACTTTTCACCTTGATGCAAGATGATTCAAGAGAAGTTTCCAACATGAAAGTTGTAGGTCTCCATGATATCTACAACATTTCTTTACACAACTTCTCCTAAACAGGCTTGGATTTCAGGTTATAAATTCATGAAGTCATGACATTTTCATTTAAACACTTAGAGAAATTTTCAGCAGTTTTGGTTAGGTTTTTATCCCAACTTCTTGCCCATTTTTCATCAAGTTCAAGTTTGATTTAACAAAAGTGGCCAACATGAAAGTTATAGAGGGTGTTTCAAGCTTTCCAAAACATCCAAGAGCATGAATTTATCTTATTTGAGTTAGGAGATACAAGGATTTGAAGTTGGACATTCATTCTTGATTTACAAGGCAGATTTGTGATGAACAAGGAACACGAATCTTAACCCATGTTGCATAATCCCCAATTTGCAGGCCTTGTGACTTGAAACTCTTACCATAGTTTAATTCTTACACAAACTTTTGAGCTATGGTCCATTGGGTTTAAGCATTATTCAAGTGATCTTTCTATTTTTGGCACAAAGGCACCATTGCCATTCTTGCAAAGTTCACTTTAATCATAAAGTCAATTTCTTGAGCCTCTAACTTGTTGTTCTAATCACACACAAATCAAAAGGGCATGCTTAAAGTGTCCAACATCTCTATGCAATAAATTACAAAGCTTTGGAACTACAATCTTCAAGCTTGCTTCATGTACAATCTAACCTAGCCATAACATGTGATTAAAAATCTGAGTTTTCAAATCTCAAACCTTCTCTATAAATAGAGAGGCTAGTTGCAAGAGAAAGGGGTTGAAAAAAACAGGTTGCAAAAGAGTTAGAAAAATAGAGTGAACGGCCAGTAGTTTTGTTGATAAACCTTCAAAAAAGCCATAACAGACCATAAGACTCCCACTCTTGAGTTTTGAAGTCTAAACCTTAAAACCTCTCACACTTTGCATATTCCATCTAAAAACCATCCAAACATTTCATACCACACAGAGGTTGTTTAATAACCTTCAACAAAAAGGAAAGTCTAGCAGCCTGTTGGAGCTTCCTTAAGGTTCATACAACATCTTGAAGGGAATTTGGACTCAAAACTTAAAGTGAAGTTTCAAGGTAAGTCATCTTTACCTTGCCTTTTCCATACATCAACTTTTCTGTTTATAGGATGTAGCAATCATTATTCTTGAAGTTAATCATTTATTTGTTGTTCCTGTTAATCATTCATATGTTAAAAACTAACTGATGTATGCAAAGAATGGTGTTTAAGGCATAAAAATGCAGTATGTATCGACGCATATCCACATGTGTCGACCCATCTTAGTGAAAATACAAGGTATGAGTCGACACATGACCCTTATGCATCGACCCATACTGAGTTCAGGTCATAAAACAGAAACTGGAAAGGACTAGGAGTCGACACATACGCATTTCGCGTTGATGCAAAAAGGTGTATGAGTCGATACATCTCATTATGTGTCGACTCATACTGAACATATTTCAGTTTACAGGGGCAAGGAGAAGCTATGTGTCGATGCATAGCAGCATGGGTCGACACATAGCAGTTCAAAAGTGCATTTTTCCTTTATTTTGCACTGTTTTCACATTCTTTTTATTATCATTCGATATGGTTGTAAAATTTTAGTTCCTAATTCACCCCTATTGCTAAATTGTACCCCCACCCCCCTAAAGGGATGTGATAGCTTAGATTTTACTTTCCGCCTTTTACTTGCTTCTCATATATTGCTAGTAAATAAGTGTGTATGGCAAGATAAAAACAACAAAATAGACAATCCTAATCAAAGACAAAACACATGCAAATAACACACTTGCACACAAGCATACTTAGGGTTTCTCCACTTGGTTGCCTTATACAAAAATAGCCATGTTACGCATGCGAAGTATCTTGGCAAAACAAACAAATATAAGATCATAGTCCCTCGATGACGCTATTCAAGGTTGCCTTACAAAATGATCTTGGTCCCTCAAAATGCTAAGATACTTTGCAAATATTGCTAATCATGGTTATACGATGACCCACGCCCGTCCCGTTAACATCCAAAGATAGGGTTGCTTACCAAATCAATGGTAAGGCAACAATGTCAAAGGAATAGAAAATGAACAAGAAAGACATTTGAGTAGGTAGTTTGCTCTTAATTACTTGCTCCATTTCAAAACAAATTATCCTTGCTATTTCCAAAACAAACACACACATTTCAAAACATCTTACAAAAATTGAAAACATTTTCAAAAAGACAAACATCTTTGTATACATCCTTACGAACGAGAATCATTACAAAGATTGCCTAAACAATGGCCTCTTTTACAAAATACTTTCAAAACCACACCAAACACAATTTCAAACAAACAAAAGCAAGTGATCTAAGCAAGTAACTAAGAGCCCATGGAAAACCATGCATGAAAAGGGTGCTAACACCTTCCCTTTTCATATTCTACCCCCCGAACTCAAGAAACAATCTCAAAGGTCTTTCCTGTGCTTTTTCACCTTTCCTTTTGGATAAAAGAAAAGTCGGTGGTGACGCTTGCTAAATCGCAACATTTGCAAACACAAACGCAAAAACCTCAAGTCAGTTCTCCCACCGTTGTAATACCCCAAATTTGTCCTACCCTTCTAATTCCTATCTGGCTTACGCAATTTTGCATTTTTCTCACATTAGGTCATTTAACACATCATGCATCCTTAATTGATAAATTGGCATAAGATCATGGATTTCGAGGAATAAGGGTTGGTGTATGGCTTTAAGGCTCCCATCTTCGCACAAGCTTGTTTCGGTTGATTTCTCCATTAATAATCTGTTTGAAGCTAGGTTTTCATTTCATGGACCTTATCATCATCAAGCTACGATGCTATTCTTTTCTTCTCAATGTCAAGTCGTAAGGTTTTATGAGACGAAGCTAAAAATCAGGGTTTATACATTTTCATATTTGAGCTTGTCAGCATTCTACCTGAGGTTCATTCCATATCAAGGTATTCGCATGTCTCATCTTTCATATTCATCTGCAAATAATCCCTCAGGGCATAGTCATTATCATCTATTGAGAAGGGGTCCAAGACGTCGTTGTTCTAGTGCTCATATAGTCGGGACATGGTACAAGATGTTGATTGTGATCAAGGTGTCATTATTTCAAATGCTTATTGCTTGACATGCAAATTTGGTTTAGATCGGAAAATTGAATTGAATTAGGGATTCACTGAAGCTGTAGTTTGATTAGAATTCATTCATTAATATTTGAAGTGGATTTGGAGAAAATCAAAGTTCTTAAATATTTGCGTGGTTTTTCTTGGAATTCAAACCACAAGTATGAAAAAGCATGCAGCATAATTCTATATGACATCATTATTCACTTGAAACCAACTCTCGGTGACAGAAAGGCAATGCTTCACGCAATTGTCCTATCCTTGTATCCCCTTCATTGGTTCTTCACTTTTCTTTATTATACAGATGTTGCATCCGTTACTGCTGTGCTGGCCATGTATCTTGCAAGTTTGGAAAAGAATTACTGGTTAAGTGCATTGGTAAGGTTGGAGCCTTTGCAGTTGTTGTTCGACAAACAAATATTATATGGGTGCTTTTGTTGCATGCATTAGTATAATAGATATTTCTCTAATGCATGGAAAAGGCAATGTAAGAACAATCAAGTCAGATGTATCAGTTGAGCATGATTTCACATATGTTACTGGTAGAAGCGCAAAGGGTTTAAATCTTAAAAGGAGAAAGTCTGTCAAAACCATATCATAACCAAATACCCAACACCATTTACAATATCCAAAAATATACTACAAAAAACAAGAAATATAATTAAAAGTGCATATATTGATTCTCATCATCGCTTTTTGTGTGGCCTCGTCGTGTTTGAAATGCAACCTTGTTGCTTCCATCTTCATTACCTTCTTCATGACCAAACCGGCGTATTGTAACTTGCCATGGTCTATGCCTTTTTTTCCAAAGCAATCCTGAACATTTACACAACAAAAAGAAACAGTTATTATCAATTCCAAAACAGCCCTACACATAACAAACTCTAACAATCCCTAACCAAAATTCCAACCAACTAACTTCTAACAAAAAAAGAAACTAATAACTGACTTCAAACTAACTTTTACAGAGTTGTATATAACAAAATAGAAACAGACCCATAGCATGATTTTATCTCCACCATTAGATCCCTAACATCTAACTGACCTCTTAATTATTCTAACAGCTTCCTAACCAAATTCATAAACCAACTACCCATAACTAACTCAACAAACTTCAAGCAGAATACAACTGACTTGCAACAGAAAATAACATAACAAACTTCTAACTTTTCCCTAACTTCTAACTATAACCAACTTTTTTTCCCACCTCCTAACCACCTAACAGAATTTCTAACCTCCTAACTATAAAAACAAACTTCCAGCATAACATAAGGAGAGGCAGAACATTATAGAGATACGATTTCAACAGAAAAAAAAGATTGGATTACCTCTCAATTTCCCAGAAGAATCACCGCCATCATCAAAGCCTGAATCAACTTCACCATCTTCAAAGCCTGAATCAACTTCACCATCTTCAAAGCCTGAGTCACCGCTATCGTCAAAGCCGGAATCATCTTCACGATCATCAAAGCCTGAATCACCGGAATCATCAAAGCTGATCGACATTCCTCAAAGGATACTACGAGATTTCCAACTGGTATCATCACCATCAAAGTTTGGATCACCGCGATCATCAAAGCCTGAATCTCCTCCAAACATTCCTCAAAGAATACAACGCGACTTCAACCTGGACTCACCATCAAAGCTTGGATCTCCACAATCATCAAAGCACAGATCAACACAACACATCGCTCTATAAACCTTCACGCCCAAGATTGAAACACAAAAATAGAGCGAATAATCGAAATAAAAGAAGAATGAGGAGAAGAAAAGAGATCCTTACCTGAAGGTGGATTACCGGCGCGGCGGAGATCATCGGAAAAAGAATCGGATCCATCTTCACTCAACACACAGTAGCTTTCTTTCTTCAGTCCCCAAAGAAACAAGCTAGCGTTCTTCTTCACTAGCATATCCCTCAATCCATATGGAAGACAAAACCGATCGCAGAGGAGAGCTGAGCATGACGGATGAAGAAACAAAAGCGAGGAGGCGAGGTAAAGATGATGAACAGGGGGTCGGGAGAGACGGAGATCAGCGAGGATGATGATGACCGCGCCGCCGAGTTGTCTGAAGAAGCGGAGGAGGTTGTGTCTGTCGGCGCCGTTCGTGCTGTTCTGCGGAGAAGAAGAGAACGACTCTCTCTAAAACCCTATTCTCTTTTCAATTTTCACATCTTTTCTTTTTTTAGTTTTAATTATTGTACAATTTTATTTTTGTTTTATTATTTTTTTAATTAAAATTAATAATAATAATAACTAAGTAAATAATATATAAAATGTTGAAATGCTTATTGGACTCACTCTTGTTGGGCCTGGTGTCATTTTAATTTTTGCTTGCAGCATACCCTGAATTCAACTTGTACCCCCTAACTCTTCTAATTTTTTCTTTTCTTTTATTATTTTAGTTTTTCTTTTAGTTTAATTTTTTCCTCTCAATTAACAATAAAAATAATAGAATATTTTAGAATAGAATTTCTTTTTAGAATTTCGATTAGAATTTTTTCTATTTTATTTCTCATATTCGATAATCATTTTTATTGCCATTTTCTAGTCAAGATTTTTGTAGCATCGACATAACTCTTGCAATGTGGAATGCTCGGGGTGAGTTCTTCAATTACTTGCCCAAGGGAACGTTGATAGAATTTCCTTACCGCTTGCACAATTTTGAAGAGGCAACGGACCTTCTCCGTTCGGTATCGTCAGAACTCTATTTTATTCCTTATTTCGGTACTTTATCGCAAATCCATATGCATACTAACATCTGGTAGAAATTTCCCCTTTAACCTAAATCTTAGGGCTACTAACGCATAATAACATTAGGTTTAGAAGTAAGCTAGTCTCCTTCTGACTTTTCTTTCCCTTTCGCATACGCATCTAAAACTAAAACTTCCTTTTTCTTTTCGAAATTCAAAAACACTTTAAAACTATTGATTCGAATCATGCTTTTGCTTAGTACGAGAAATGATAAGCGGGTCTCTTCTCGACCTTATCGTTCTTCATCTCAAGCATAGGTGTGGTTCAATTCTCAAAAACTCCTTTCATGGCTAAGTAGAAAAGTGGCTAATATCTCTCTCTTGAGGTCGACTAGTCAATATCTACAACAAAAATACAAAACAAAATCATATCTTTTGTGCGCTCGAGCACCTTTCATTAAAAAACCTTTTCAGATAAGGACACGATTAATTTACTTCTGTGCCAACGCATAAGTCTCCAAAGGTCGAGCTGCGACAGAAGGCGGAATTAACTTCGTCCACAAAAAACATCTATAACAAAATATAAACCAATTCAAATCTTTTTTGCGCTCGAGCACTTTTCTAAAAAAACCCTTTTCAGATAAGGACACGATTAATTTACTTCTGTGCCAATGCATAAGTCTCCGAAGGTCGAGCTGCGGCAGAAGGCGGAATTAACTTCGTCCATAAAAAACACAAAACAAACAAAAACATATGAGCCGAACTACGGTAGCTCTGATTCCTCAAAACGGATACGTAGGCATTGGGGTAGGGCCCAGGCGAGCATAATTTTATTTTCCCTACATTCTTTTTCTCCTTTCTTTTGCATGCATTCCTCCAGTAGTGTAGTAAACAGTAAGCATAGATTAAACACACCCATAAGATAGATAACAAGAGTGGATACCGTAGAGTACTACGGGCGTGTGGGGTGCTAATACCTTCCCCTCGCGTAACAGACTCCCTTACCTGATCTCTCAGTCGCAAGACCGTGACTTCTCCCTTCTCAGGTTTTCTCGATGTTTACCTTTCCCTACATGTGGGATAAAAGACGTTCGATGGCGACTTCATTGTTTGATGATTTTCAGTCGGTTGTTTCAGCTGGCGACTTCACTGGGGAATAGGTCGACCAAATGCTGGTCCATCCCGGAGTCGCTTCTAGCTCTTGTTTTCTTTCCTTAGGGTGTTTATTTTTATGCTTTCAGTTTACTCATTTGTACATGTTTGCATTGCATTTTATGGCTTTCCATATCTGTTATCTATTATGTTGAACTTTGTTCTATGTTGGGTTGGGATGTCACTTTTGAGGTAAAAGGCCCAGTACCCAGGCCAGAGTGCACTAGGACACCTAGGAATAGAGTGGGGGCATGACGGCTATAGGACGTGGTCCGATTAGTGCAGTCATGTCATATACCACGCTCGGATGAGGTTCAAATGAATTACTATCGGCACCCACGTCTGTGGGCAAGCCCATAGCACTTTCAGGCGAACCCATGATTTTCGAGTTACCATTATCTTACCCTGACCTAGTTTTCACCCGTGAGTGGGAAGGGAATTTTTGTCGCAGGTACAGATGGTGACTATGTGCGGATGGTTACTCACATTCAAATGATGATTATGCTCAGACAATGACTGCTGGTTCTGATGGCTATATTATGGATTTCTGTTATGACTTTATGCAGATGCTATATCCTGTTGGTGACCGCATGGTTCTCAGATTTATTTTCTGAGATCCTGACTTGTTTACTTGGAGGTTCATTCAATCCTTCAACCTTGGTATTCCCAGCATGTTCAGAAATTCTCAACAGTATCCAATGTTCCAGAAGCCTTGATCCCGGACAATGGGAGATCCACAGGGTACATGGTTCTTATATATGCAGAAGCTATGTCGGACCTTTAATCTGATGATACTCACATGATCCAGAGCAGTGCAGCAACCTTATTCAGGAATGATGGAACCATGATCCTCTTTGATCTCATGCCTTTGCATACATAACATGGCTAACTGCATGCTTAACATACATGTTCTGTTATTTTCAAGGAATCATATTTGCAAGTCTTGTGCCAAAATTCTTCCATCCCTTACTTGCGCAAAAACAAAATCAAAGCACGCAAATTCCTTGGAAATGACAAAACATGACATGGCATTCATTCATACACTCCATGTATATTCATGCATTCATGACAGGTACCCGGAGATTGGGGATTCTTATTCGAACCTGGGGTTCTCTTCAAAGGCTCAACTTGGTTTCTCGCCGCACGTGTTCGGGGACCAGCTATGGAATAACTCTGAGTGGTACATGCAAGCTTTGGCTCATAGCCAGAAACTTCTTCAGGCAGGAAGATAATGGATTAAAGAGTCAGATAAGCCAGTTCATGGAAACTCTGATGATAATGTCTATTATTTCTTTAAAAACATGATGTGCTTGGTGATGCATATTATACTGGGGCACTTGGCCAACCGATTGAAGATGGTATGTCATCCAGAGACCAAGTCCAAGACTGAATCAATTCAGAGACTGTCATGCTCACATCAGATCTGAAAGGGGATTCTCTCGCACACTCGAGCTTCAAGACTACATAAAGTCGTCAGAATCAACAAGTCCATACGGAGTCAAGTATCCTCAACAATGGCAATCATTGGTTTCTTTACTGCATTTTCATTTGCATTCTTGCTTGTTTGTTTAAACATTGCTTGTATATAGAAACTTGTCTATTTTTGAACGAAAATCTTAATGCAATAAGTATGCTTGTCTCGAAGTGTTCCTTTCATTTTTACTCATCCATTCGTTATCACTCTTTAAATGTTTTACTTGCATATTGATGCCAGATTTCCTAGTCTTATGCTTAGGTAAAGATTCAAAGGAGGATGACGACAATCTGAAAACGCAAAATCTCTGGTTGGTATGCTTTTGAGTAGGACCCTGCTGACGATGTACATGCCTTGTTTCAATCCCCAAACACCGGAGATATAAGGGAGATAGACCCTCGTCAACCCCTCTGAGCCTTCGAAGTAGGAGTTTCCTTTCTGTTCAGAAAAAACCCTCATTTCAACCCTGGGGCGGGTAGTGTTCAGCTAATCTGATCAAGCATTCAGAACTCATCAAGAGTGTGCATCCAAGGATACAACAATGGTTATCCATCAAAATGTTGAGGAAAGTCAAAACCACAATGGTTAATTCCCATCTAACAACAATGTGCGTCTATTAACAATACCCCAAATGAGTATCCCTCGCACGTCAAAAGGTCAACAAATGACGATACAATAATGGCTATCCATCATCTACCAGAGACTCAGGCAGTCACGATCACTTCCGACAAATCAAAAACAACACAAAGATCAACGACTTGTTCAAAATGAAAAAATACGAAAAAGAAAGAAACAAAAATCCCCGCCAAGTCGAAACTTGAAAACAAGTCGCTTAGGCAAAAAATTGGGGCATCCCGCTGGACTTCCAAATCAAAATTCGAAAGAATTTATCCAGGAAAAAATTAGGGAAAGCAAGAAAGAAATTGAAAATCCTAAAAGGCAAGAAAAGGATTACCAATGAAAATCCTCATCAAGGAACAAATTCGTGTGATCAAACACCAAAAGCAAAAGGTGAAGTGATTGTCGTGTCCAAGAAACCACAGTGGTTCCTCAACCATCGCAAACTCTTCTCGAGAGATGAATGCTTATATCAGGTCAACTAAACATAGGAATGGAGAACATCATGGAGAATGGGTGGGCACCAAATAATTTTGAGCCTTAAATCTTTTTTTCTAAAAACCGTGAACCAGGCCACGTTACAACCCATAAAAGTCCTAACTGAAGCATGGGTCAATTCAAAAGCGTGCTACAACGAGATAGCGTTTAACTGACTCCTAAGAGGTACGTTCCAATATATGTGTTGGCATCATATGCTTGCATTATCTTTCATAAAAAATAATTTGCAAATGTTTCTCTCTAGCTAGTGACTCGTTCACAACTGAGTTGGGACGTCATTTCATTCAAAGTTTTTTTTTTAACTTCAAGACTTACATATGTGTTGCATTAGAATTATCATTCTCATAATAAGCATTCTTCTGCATACAAAACAACTGATTGACATCAAGTAAGTTTACACAATGAACAACTGGTAAAGAGCTCAATCTTGTCAGAGAAGAGAGGCTTGAATACCCTGTCAAAGCAAGAGTCAGCTGCCACAAGAGAAATGACTTATCCAGTAGCATGTTAACCGGTGATTCTGTCAAGAGAAATCATCTTGGTACTTCACAGCTTGTGTACCCTTCAGGGATAAAGTTGGCAGATTCCATCAATCTGGGGCATTCCCCTAAAACTGCCAATCTGGGGCAATCAAGTCGAGAGTCGATCTCTCCAAATTCAGCCAAATCTGGGGCATTCCCTCAAAGATGTCAATCAGAGGCTATCACGTCGATAAATCTCTTCAAGCTCAATCAATCAGAGACTATCACGTCGAGAGATCTATTCAGAATTCATTCAACCTGGGGCAGTTACGTCGAGATTCGACAAATCTCTCCAAGAAGGCTGTAATCAAGAGCAGTTTATTTCGTGACTCAAGACATTGGGGCAGGCCACCTCATATCATTTTGTGGCATGAATATTCTGGTCTTCTATTCAACATAGATCTTCTCAGAGACCCTTCAGACAAGGGCATTCCTCATCCATACTTGCAAAGTTGCTCAAGCCAATTATGTTGTACGAGACTACGATCAAGCTAAAAGCACCATAACGGTCACCCTGACCTAGCCGGCACACGAAGTTGCCTTCATATGCTACAGACAATTTCAAATATGATTCCCCAAGTGAATTCAGAAAGTCTAGAATCGTCTTTTGACTCAGCATGCGTAAGTGCATCCTCAGTGGAGCTAATCGAGAACATCCCCAATGGAGCTAAACCGGGGCATTCGCAGAGCTAAACCGGGGCATTTGCAGAGCTCAACCGGGGCATTCGCAGAGCTCAACCGGGGCATTCGCAAAGCTAAACCGGGGCATTCGCAGGGTTCAACCGGGGCACTCGTAGGTGTCCATGCCCATCTCTTATCCCCAAGTGATTCAAGAGATAATTCCCCAGTGTGCGTAAACTTGGGACATGTATTCAAAGGGATCCACATGGTGTTCAGTATCCATTCTTCAACATATTCACTTCTATCACTCCCCCAACAGTTCAGGATGTTTGGAAGTCTGGCCAGGTTATCTCTTCCTTCAACGGTACGATTCAGAATCCAGCAGTGTACCTAAAGACTCACTTCGTCAGTAATTCAGTCTTCAGCAGAGTCATCAACAATCTTCGGTATTATGGGCTCCCCATGGCAAATTTTTATCGGTACCCCATCAATCTTTGGTACTGCATGCTTTCAACGTCGATATATATTGGCATCCCCAGTGATGAGTAATGGCTCCCAACAAACCTTCTCTTATCCCCATGAAGTTTATTTCTTCGCATTGCATATAGTTATCATTACATAACATTGCATCCTCAAGAGCGCGTAGCTGATCCATCAGAGTGGATCTTTGCGTCAAAAGAAATTCAAACATGCATACAAAGCATAAGCCAGACCAGGTACCTTACACGAAAGACCTGAATTATTCAAGGACAACAATACATCCCTACAGGAGGGTATCATGCCCAAAATCCCCAATCAGTGACCTTCACCTTTTCAATGCCAAACAAAATCAATACACTTTGTCATTCTAAACCCAGTTCTTGTCTGGTAGTCAGTTCCCTAAACACTCGTCCGTGTCCATCCCTAAGCACTCGTATGTGTCAAGTTTTCTAAACACCCACCCGGGTCAGTTATTCAAACACTCGTCTGTGTTTATACTTTTTGATACTCGTCCGTATCTTCTTTCAATACTCGTCTGTATTGAATCAAACACTCGTCTGTGTTTATACTTTTTGATACTCGTCCGTATCTTCTTTCAGTACTCGTCCGTATTGAATCAAACACTTGTCCGTGTTTATACTTTTTGATACTCGTCCGTATCTTCTTTCAATACTCGTCCGTATTGAATCAAGCACTCGTCCGTGTTTATACTTTTGATACTCGTCCGTATCTTCTTTCAATACTCGTCCGTATTGAATCAAACACTCGTCTGTGTTTATACTTTTTGATACTCGTCCGTATCTTCTTTCAATACTCGTCCGTATTGAATCAAACACTCGTCCGTGTTTAACTTTTTGATACTCGTCCGTATGTTCTTTCAATGCTCGTCCGTATTGAATCAAACACTCGTCCGTGTTTAACTTTTTGATACTCGTCCGTATCTTCTTTCAATACTCGTCTGTATTGAATCAAACACTCGTCCGTGTTTATACCTTTTGATACTCACCTGTATCTTCTTTCAATACTCGTCCGTATTGAATCAAACACTCGTCCGTGTTCATACTTTTTGATACTCGTCCGTATCTTCTTTCAATACTCGTCCGTATTGAACCAAACGCTCGTCCGTGTTTAAACTTTCTTGATGCTCTTACGTGTCGCTTATCTAAACAATTATCATGTCATAACCCATGTTCCCTTATTTGAACCTGAGATCGCCTCTTGGCTAGGTTCTTCCTTCAGATCATCGTCGAACCTGAGATCGCCTCTTGGCTAGGTTCTTCCTTCAAATCATCGTCGAACCTGAGATCGCCTCTTGGCTAGGTTCTTCCTTCAGATCACCGTCGAACCTGAGATCGCCTCTTGGCTAGGTTCTTCCTTCAAATCATCGTCGAACCTGAGATTGCCTCTTGGCTAGGTTCTTCCTTCAAATCATCGTCGAACCTGAGATTGCATCTTGGCTAGGTTCTTCCTTCAAATCATCGTCGAACCTGAGATCGCCTCTTGGCTAGGTTCTTCCTTCAAATCTTTGTCGAACCTGAGATCGCCTCTTGGCTAGGTTCTTCCCTCAAACCTTTGTCGAACCTGAGATTGCCTCTTGGCTAGGTTCTTCCTTCAAATCATCGTCGAACCTGAGATCGCCTCTTGGCTAGGTTCTTCCTTCAAATCATCGTCGAACCTGAGATCGCCTCTTGGCTAGGTTCTTCCTTCAAATCATCGTCGAACCTGAGATCGCCTCTTGGATAGGTTCTTCCTTCAAATCATCGTCGAACCTGAGATCGCCCTTTGGCTAGGTTCTCTGTCAAATCACTCCCATGTGTCACCCTCGGATCGTAGGCCGCCCGTAGACCTCGTCCGCTGTCTTTTCATACCAACCATTTGTCTTGTATTGGCATCAAGCCACGTTACAAGTCCAGTCTCTGTCTCTTCATTGAAAAAAACAAATTTCTTTTCCCCAACAGATAACACAAAATAAATAAATAAAGAAAACACTTTCTCTCTCAGGACAAATTTTTGGCATTGGTATTTAATCATCTTCCACCTTGAACTTCCGAAAGGGACGCGCCAATCGTACTTTCGGGTTTAAGACGATTAAATAGGGGCAGCTGTAATACCCCAAATTTGTCCTACCCTTCTAATTCCTATCTGGCTTACGCAATTTTGCATTTTTCTCACATTAGGTCATCTAACACATCATGCATCATTAATTGATAAATTGGCATAAGATCATGGATTTCGAGGAATAAGGGTTGGTGTATGGCTTTAAGGCTCCCATCTTCGCACAAGCTTGTTTCGGTTGATTTCTCCATTAATAATATGTTTGAAGCTAGGTTTTCATTTCATGGACCTTATCATCATCAAGCTACGATGCTATTCTTTTCTTCTCAATGTCAAGTCGCAAGGTTTTATGAGACGAAGCTAAAAATCAGGGTTTATACATTTTCATATTTGAGCTTGTCAGCATTCTACCTGAGGTTCATTCCATATCAAGGTATTCGCATGTCTCATCTTTCATATTCATCTGCAAATAATCCCTCAGGGCATAGTCATTATCATCTATTGAGAAGGGGTCCAAGACGTCGTTGTTCTAGTGCTCATATAGTCGGGACATGGTACAAGATGTTGATTGTGATCAAGGTGTCATTATTTCAAATGCTTATTGCTTGACATGAAAATTTGGTTTAGATCGGAAAATTGAATTGAATTAGGGATTCACTGAAGCTGTAGTTTGATTAGAATTCATTCATTAATATTTGAAGTGGATTTGGAGAAAATCAAAGTTCTTAAATATTTGCGTGGTTTTTCTTGGAATTCAAACCACAAGTATGAAAAAGCATGCAGCATAATTCTATATGACATCATTATTCACTTGAAACCAACTCTCGGTGACAGAAAGGCAATGCTTCACGCAATTGTCCTATCCTTGTATCCCCTTCATTGGTTCTTCACTTTTCTTTATTATACAGATGTTACATCCGTTACTGCTGTGCTGGCCATGTATCTTGCAAGTTTGGAAAAGAATTACTGGTTAAGTGCATTGGTAAGGTTGGAGCCTTTGCAGTTGTTGTTCGACAAACAAATATTATATGGGTGCTTTTTGTTGCATGCATTAGTATAATAGATATTTCTCTAATGCATGGAAAAGGCAATGTAAGAACAATCAAGTCAGATGTATCAGTTGAGCATGATTTCACATATGTTACTGGTAGAAGCGCAAAGGGTTTAAATCTTAAAAGGAGAAAGTCTGTCAAAACCATATCATAACCAAATACCCAACACCATTTACAATATCCAAAAATATACTACAAAAAACAAGAAATACAATTAAAAGTGCATATATTGATTCTCATCATCGCTTTTTGTGTGGCCTCGTCGTGTTTGAAATGCAACCTTGTTGCTTCCATCTTCATTACCTTCTTCATGACCAAACCGGCGTATTGTAACTTGCCATGGTCTATGCCTTTTTTTCCAAAGCAATCCTGAACATTTACACAACAAAAAGAAACAGTTATTATCAATTCCAAAACAGCCCTGCACATAACAAACTCTAACAGCCCCTAACCAAAATTACAGCCAACTAACTTCTAACAAAAAAAGAAACTAATAACTGACTTCAAACTAACTTTTACAGAGTTGTATATAACAAAATAGAAACAGACCCATAGCATGATTTTATCTCCACCATTAGATCCCTAACATCTAACTGACCTCCTAATTATTCTAACATCTTCCTAACCAAATTCATAAACCAACTACCCATAACTAACTCAACAAACTTCAAGCAGAATACAACTGACTTGCAACAGAAAATAACATAACAAACTTCTAACTTTTCCCTAACTTCTAACTATAACCAACTTTTTTTCCCACCTCCTAACCACCTAACAAAATTTCTAACCTCCTAACTATAAAAACAAACTTCCAGCATAACATAAGGAGAGGCAGAACATTATAGAGATACGATTTCAACAGAAAAAAAGATTGGATTACCTCTCAATTTCCCAGAAGAATCACCGCCATCATCAAAGCCTGAAGCAACTTCACCATCTTCAAAGCCTGAGTCACCGCTACCGTCAAAGCCGGAATCATCTTCACGATCATCAAAGCCTGAATCACCAGAATCATCAAAGCTGATCGACATTCCTCAAAGGATACTACGAGATTTCCAACTGGTATCATCACCATCAAAGTTTGGATCACCGTGATCATCAAAGCCTGAATCTCCTCCAAACATTCCTCAAAGAATACAACGAGACTTCAACCTGGACTCACCATCAAAGCTTGGATCGCCACAATCATCAAAGCACAGATCAACACAACACATCGCTCTATAAACCTTCACGCCCAAGATTGAAACACAAAAATAGAGTGAATAATCGAAATAAAAGAAGAATGAGGAGAAGAAAAGAGATCCTTACCTGAAGGTGGATTACCGGCGCGGCGGAGATCATCGGAAAAAGAATCGGATCCATCTTCGCTCAACACACAATAGCTTTCTTTCTTCAGTCCCCAAAGAAACAAGCTAGCGTTCTTCTTCACTAGCATATCCCTCAATCCATATGGAAGACAAAACCGATCGCGGAGGAGAGCTGAGCACGGCGGATGAAGAAACAGAAGCGAGGAGGCGAGGTAAAGATGATGAACAGGGGGTCGGGAGAGACGGAGATCAGCGAGGATGATGATGACCGTGCCGCCGAGTTGTCTGAAGAAGCGGAGGAGGTTGTGTCTGTCGGTGCCGTTCGTGCTGTTCTACGGAGAAGAAGAGAACGACTCTCTCTAAAACCCTATTCTCTTTTCAATTTTCACATCTTTTCTTTTTTTAGTTTTAATTATTGTACAATTTTATTTTTGTTTTATTATTTTTTTAATTAAAATTAATAATAATAATAACTAAGTAAATAATAAATAAAATGTTGAAATGCTTATTGGACTCACTCTTGTTGGGCCTGGTGCCATTTTAATTTTTGCTTGCAGCATACCCTGAATTCAGCTTGTACCCCCTAACTCTTCTAATTTTTTCTTTTCTTTTATTATTTTAGTTTTTCTTTTAGTTTAATTTTTTCCTCTCAATTAACAATAAAAATAATAGAATATTTTATAATAGAATTTCGATTAGAATTTTTTCTATTTTATTTCTCATATTCGATAATCATTTTTATTGCCATTTTCTAGTCAAGATTTTTGTAGCATCGACATAACTCTTGCAATGTGGAATGCTCTGGGTGAATTCTTCAATTACTTGCCCAAGGGAACGTTGATAGAATTTCCTTACCGCTTGCACAATTTTGAAGAGGCAACGGACCTTCTCCGTTCGGTATCGTCAGAACTCTATTTTATCCCTTATTTCGGTACTTTATCGCAAATCCATATGCATACTAACATCAGGTAGAAATTTCCCCTTTAACCTAAATCTTAGGGCTACTAACGCATAATAACATTAGGTTTAGAAGTAATCTAGTCTCCTTCTGACTTTTCTTTCCCTTTCGCATACGCATCTAAAACTAAAACTTCCTTTTTCTTTTCGAAATTCAAAAACACTTTAAAACTATTGATTCGAATCATGCTTTTGCTTAGTACGAGAAATGATAAGCGGGTCTCTTCTCGACCTTATCGTTCTTCATCTAAAGCATAGGTGTGGTTCAATTCTCAAAAACTCCTTTCATGGCTAAGTAGAAAAGTGGCTAATATCTCTCTCTTGAGGTCGACTAGTCAATATCTACAACAAAAATACAAAACAAAATCAAATCTTTTGTGCGCTCGAGCACCTTTCATTAAAAAAACTTTTCAGATAAGGACACGATTAATTTACTTCTGTGCCAACGCATAAGTCTCCAAAGGTCGAGCTGCGGCAGAAGGCGGAATTAACTTCGTCCACAAAAAACATCTATAACAAAATATAAACCAATTCAAATCTTTTGTGCGCTCGAGCACTTTTCTAAAAAAACCCTTTTCAGATAAGGACACGATTAATTTACTTCTGTGCCAACGCATAAGTCTCCGAAGGTCGAGCTGCGGCAGAAGGCGGAATTAACTTCGTCCATAAAAAACACAAAACAAACAAAAACATATGAGCCGAACTACGGTAGCTCTGATTCCTCAAAACGGATACGTAGGCATTGGGGTAGGGCCTAGGCGAGCACAATTTTATTTTCCCTACATTCTTTTTCTCCTTTCTTTTGCATGCATTCCTCCAGTAGTGTAGTAAACAGTAAGGATAGATTAAACACACCCATAAGATAGATAACAAGAGTGGATACCGTAGAGTACTACGGGCGTGTGGGGTGCTAATACCTTCCCCTCGCGTAACAGACTCCCTTACCCGATCTCTCAGTCGCAAGACCGTGACTTCTCCCTTCTCAGGTTTTCTCGATGTTTACCTTTCCCTACATGTGGGATAAAAGACGTTCGATGGCGACTTCATTGTTTGATGATTTTCAGCCGGTTGTTTCAACCGTATCACAGAACTGGCGACTCTGCTGGGGACTTTTATTAAAGTGGGGTTACCTTAGGGTTTAGATCACATTTATTTGCTTACCTTGTTTGAATTGTTTGCTTTACAATTATGGTTCTTTGTTTGGGTTTAATTCCTCCTCCCAGATTCGGGAAACATTTTAGGTAAATAGCAATATGTTATGAAAATTGTGCGGGGTATACCGACATGGTCTAAGCAATATCTATGTTAGTGTGACATATTTATGGGTATCGGTAGCCTTTGAGTCAATCAAAGAGAATACAGGGCCGCTGAGTGATGTCATGAAGCACAAATAAACTTCTAGAACCCTTTACTTGACCAACTTGGCCTTTTAGGATGTAGTGAGATGACTTGCTTTGGTGCAGTCCGAAGTTGGTAGATACTCGATACTACACTCATAGAGGGTTGGTTTCTTGGGATATTTCGGTCGCCATTAAAGAGGCTTGAGCTGAAACGATGACCAAGGAAACAATCTAGTGATATTGAGCTCCTTAGAACCCGGTTACTATTACTAGGACAGGTTGAGCCAACTAAACTTCAAGAGGGTACTTACCTATAAAACCCCATGCAAGCCTAAACTAGGAACTTATTTGATTTGCTTGTATATGCATACTTGTACATAACATCATGGACATCATGAACATCATATGCACTCACTAACCATTTCAAGGATTTTGGAGATTCATCTTTGTTCTTGTTTTGTAGGATAATGATTCACTTCACAGGAAAACTATCCACATCAACCTTGTAAGAATTCCTCCACAACTAAAGGAGCTAGCTTCAAGGATCCCTGAGAACTCTCCATTCACCGAGAGACATGGTCGTCTACTTAACTTGGTCACCTCCAACACAGAGGAGGATATGATGAAGGTTCTCTTCCAGTTCTTTGACCCTTTGCATCATTGCTTCACATTTCCTGACTATCAACTTGTGCCCACTTTGGAAGAATTCTCTCAACTTTTGAGGATTCCTATTCTCAATCAACTACCTTTCAACGGTACGGAAAGAGATCCAAAGCCAGAAGAGATTTCTTAAGCCTTACACTTGCACTCATCTGATGTCACAACTCATTGGGAAACTAGAAGTGGTGTCAAAGGCTTCTTGGCAAAGTTTCTGTTTGAGAAAGCCCAAAGCTGTTGGAATTCCTTAGACTTGCAAGCTTTTGAGGAAATTGTATCTCTTCTCATCTATGGGATGGTCCTGTTCCCCAATCCTAATCAACTCATAGATATGAGCGCTCTCAAAGTCTTCATGTCACGCAACCCGGTGCCTACATTGCTTGGGGATATCCTACACTCTTTTCACACTCGTACAATGAGGAAAAGAGGTGTTCTTATATGTTGCACTCCTCTCCTGGCAAGATGGTTCATTTCTCATCTTCCCCAATCAGTTTTAAATAATGAGCAAGGTTTGAGGTGGTCACAAAGGTGAATGACGCTTAAACATTCAGATATTCATTGGTGTTTGTGATGCGGTGGGAGAACTGAGTTGAGGTTTTGCGTTTGTGCAAATGTTGCGGTTAGCAAGAGTCGCCACTGATTTTTCTTTTATCCAAAAGGAAAGGTAAAAAAGCACAGGAAAGACCTTTGAGATGTTTTCTTGAGTTCGGGGGGTGGATTATGAAAAGGGAAGATGCTAGCACCCTTTTCATCCATGGTTTTCCACGGGCTCTTAGTTACTTGTTTTAGATCACTTGCTTTGCTTTGTTTTGTTTGAAATGGTGCTTGGTGTGGTTTCGAAAGTATTTTGAAAAGAGGCCATTGTTTAGGCGATCTTTGTAATGATTCTCATTCGTAAGAATGTATACAAAGATGCTTGTCTTTTGAAAATGTTTTCAATGTTTTGAAAGATGTTTTGAAATGTGTGTGTGTTTGTTTTTGAAAATAGCAAGGATTGTTTTAAAAAGGAACAAGTAACTAGAAGCTATCTACCTACTCAAATGTATTTCTTGTGCATTTTTATTCCTTTGACATTGTTGATTTACCATTGATTTGGTAAACAACCCTATCTTTGGATGTAAACGGGACGGGCGTGGGTCATCGTATGACCATGATAGTAATGTTGCCAAGTATCTTAGCAATTTCTTTTGGGACCAAGATCATTTTGTTTAGGCAACCTTTGTGTAGTGTCATCGAGGGTCTATGATCTTATATTTGTTTTGTTTTGCCAAGATACTTCGCGTGCGTAACATGGCCATTTTTATTTAGACAACCAAGTGGGAGAAATCCTAAGGGTGCTTGTGTGCAAAGTGTGTCATTTTTCATGCTTTTGTCTTGCATTAGGTCTTTTTTATTTGTTTTGTTTTTGTTCTTGTCATGCAAACCCTAGTTACTAAGCATAGTATATAAAGCAATAAATTGCGTAAAATAAACTAAGCTATTACAACAAATATTATGGGAGGGGGGATACAAGTTTTGAATGGGGATTTTGCACAAATATAAACCTAAAAATATTATTACAACCCAATCGAATATTGTGCGAATTAAATAAATGTACAAATATTTAAAATGCAATGCAATGTATTTATGTAAAAAAATGTCTTATGCTTGGTTTTTGTATGAGAAAATAGTTTAATTCAAACCCTAGAAAATAAGGATAAAATAGTATTATTTTTGGAGGGGTGAAACCCTAATTTTTTGATTAAAAGAAAATAATGTTTCACATTAATATTTTATCCATTTTTTGTACAAGAAATAATAAATAATATTACATGTAAACATTAAAAATTAAGTAGGTATAAAAATAATTATTTATGATTATAAATAGTATAATAAAAAAATTTAAGTATTTTTAATTGTATTTACAAATTATTTAAGAAAATAAAATTTGTTTATCCTAATAAACTATTTTTTATGCAAAAAAAAAATTGCATTAAATAAAGAAATTATTTTTAGGATTTTTATCATTTAGAAAAAATAAATAAAAGCTATAAATATAAAAATATGAAGAAAAATGCAAAAATATAAAAAGTTAGTCAGGGGGTGTAGTAGCAATTCAAGAGGTGCAAAAAGCAAAAACAAAAAGCCCAAGACGCCAAAAAGCTCAGACTTCATCCCTGTCCTCCAGCCAGCTTCTCCTTCGCGCGTTTTATGTTCAAACCTGTAACTTTCACATGCTTGCACAAAAACAAAAACTCACAACATGAAACTTGTGGCATTTAATCTCACGATTCCAACCATATAAAATTTGTAACCTAACTCTCAAAGATCAGAGAGAGTTTTAGCAACCCTAATTTGTGACCTAAAAAATTCAGCATATTCATCCTTCAAATTCTCTCAGCATAGTTAATATAAATGAAAAGTATGCATATGTACATCTTCACCATGTTATGGACTACATTTTTCCTTCACAAATCATGGCTTAAGGATGCCTAAATATAGAGATAGAGTTTGAGAAAAATACCTCCTTCAGCTGGATTTGGATAGAGTAATGTAGGGACTTTAATGGAGGCCTGAGGATTGATTAAGCTTTCTTGAACTTCCTC